TGTCCATAGAGTAACTCAGTGGGGGATCTGCCTTTCCCAAGAGAATAAATATGGGCCAGACTTGAATAGTTTACAGTCTAATACAAAAGGCAGCAGTTTCAGGAAGGGAGGTTATGATGCCATCACAGCAGAGGAGACCCGTTATTAAGGATGGTTTTGAAGGAAAAGTGTAAAATGTATACAACACACACAATAGATCAAAGCCCAGTGCACAGAGACAAGGACACCACATGTCCCTTTGTGACCATCAGTTGACTGCAGGCCCATCATTGAATGCAGGCCAGTACCAAGCAATTTCTTGCCTCTCTGCCTTTCTGCATGCTCCTTTCACTCCTCACTGCCTGGGAGAACTGACAATGAACAAACATGTGAGAGCAGCCGGTGTTTCACAGGCTCAGAGGCACAGAGAGGATTAATCACACAGTCCCCCGCCCAGGGCTGGAGCCCAAAGATCATTTCATGGGAGAGGAAGTTACTGAGGATTTACTGAGATTCATTAACCTTTACCAGTTGAGTTCCTCAGGGCAGGGCAACACAGAGAAAGTCTCTCATGGGTATCTCTCAGGGCACCCTCTCCATTTCCTGCACGACTGGGCACTGGTCACAGGATGACTAATGTTGCATTTATACACTTAAATCCAAGAGTGCCGAACATGAGTCACACAGGGCTGCGTAGCCTGTATGGGTGCACTTCCAGTGCCTTCCACATGGAGCCCTCCAAGTGCTTTCCAAACCATGGAACCCCAGGAGAAAGCCAGTCTCCTTCCCACTGTGCGAATGGGGACACAATGGAGGTGAAGGGCTTGGTTTGTAATTTCTGGTGCTGAAGTGCTAATGATTGCATCATGTCCCAATGGCAGAGAAATAAAGTGATGCATCCCCCGCTTCCCAAAACTGTTCACTCATCCCAGACTTCACCTGCTTCTGGTTAATTTCCCTTGGGACCATTAAGCATCCCATCCCCTTCTTCTCAGAGCATAATGCCAAGGTTTAAGACATACACACCTACCCAAGTTCTACTTCTCAGTGTGTGGCCCTAGGCAAATAACAGATAGCCTCAGTTTCACCATCTGTACAAGATACCTCCACCTGCCCTGAAAGGGGAACTGTGGGAAAGCTTTTCTGCAAAGTGATACATTTACTCTCAATGACCATTCTCAACATGGGTGCCTAGAAGTGGATTGTGACAGTAAATTGTATTGCCTGAAGACCAGGGGATCGTCCTCTTTGAAAACAAAAGGTATACTCTGTAGTAGGATGCAACTTTAAATCAGTGGGATTGGAGCACATTGGACATAACTCCAATCACAGGAACTGAAGTTATACCCAAAGACATTCGCACATTGAGACAAATATTGAATTGGCAAGCTGTCCTTCTAGTCTTAAAATCCACTTCTGGATTATAGTGAATTACGGCAATCACAAATGAAAAAGCAGGGACTTAGAAAATTTTCACCCTAGTTTGTGTGACCAGCAAAGGATCAATTTACACAGAAGTTCAGGGACTCATTTAGGAGCATGGGTGAAAAGAGCAGGCAAGACTACCAAACCCCTTAACTAATATTGCATTTGTGCTCTAATACCATTAGCATCAGAAGTCCACTCAAAGGGTAGAGTAGAGCATTCATTCTACATTGAACCACCAAGACAGCTATTTTGACCGTAAGCACAATGAGGCAGGGATGGTCATTGTTCTGGGTGCATACAGCACCTAGCCCAATGGGGTACTGATCCAGGACGATGGTTTCTAGGGGCTACAATAGCTAATCTGCTAATAATTGAGATACAAAGCTATCAGGCCAGGAAAGCCGAGCACAAACTCTGTACCGGGGTAGATACAAAGAAAAAACACCACACATTTTGCTGAACCTGTTCTCTTAGAGCAGGGGTCTCCAAACTACGGCCCGGGGGCCGGATGCGGCCCGCGAGGCCCTCTCATCCGGCCCGTGGAGACCTTTTTGGATTCAAAGGCAGAAGAAGTGAGATTGTTTCAAAACCCATTTGAAGCAGATGTGGCCAGTTGCCCAGATGAACTGCAGCTGGAAGTCATTGAGTTGCAAGCAAATGACCTCCTTAGGGACAAGTTCAAAATAGGACTGGTGGGTTTTTACCAGTTTTTGCCCAAGGAAGACTTTCCTAATGTCAAAACTTTTGCATCAAGGTACCTTTCAATCTTTGGAACAACATACCTGTGTGAACAAACATTTTCAAGAATGAAATATGTGAAGAACAATTTGAGAACAAACTTGTCCGATGATAATCTCAGGTCACTGTTGATGTTAGGGACAACAAATCTAAAGCCAGAAATGTCTGCTATTTTGGCATCCAGGAAACAATTTCACCATTCACACTAATACAGGTGTTCATGTGTAGTGTATGAATGTGTTATTAAATAATAACTGAATAAAATAATATTAAATAAATAATTAAAAACAACATCCATGTTTTGATTGTTTTTTATTTGGACCTCAAGTGTGTAGTCGGCCCCCGAACTGCTGTTTGATAGTTAATGCGGCCCTCGGGCTGAAAAGTTTGGAGACCCCTGTCTTAGAGCAAAGGACACTACAACATGAAAGGAGAGGGTTGTGCATGGGAGAGGCTGCAGCACAAACCTGTTCCACAGTATCTCTCCCTTTGCGTATTTTCTTCGGTTTTGGATCTAGGTGAGGCAGCGAAGAAAAACAACTCGCAAAGGAGACTTTGAACTAGGGCTGGCTGGAAATCAAGAATTCCCTTTCCTGAAAAAGCTTTGAGGCTGTGACATTTGAACACCAGTCTGTGTCTCTCTCCAGAAATTCCTATAGAAAATCATCAAAATGTTTCAATTTAAAAAAAAAAAATCAGAATTTTTCAATGAAAACATTAAAAAAAACCCTGCAGCCAGTGTTGTTTAGGGCCCATGATTCTTTGCAGGAATATACAGACCTTTGTTGTAGGTGATGTCCTTCCAGAACAGAGTTCATTACCTCCAAAGGAATATTTGGTGGTGACTGAAGCTGCTCCACGTGGAAACCTGACTGTAAAGGGGGAGGGATTCAGGCAGGGGTACAAATGGTTAGCAAGAACAAGTTAACGTATTCCATTTATGAGCAGCAGTCTTGTGGAGTCATAATTTCTACTAGCTAGCCTTTAATCACATGGGTTGGGCTTGTGAGCACTGCTAACTGCTGGTACCAGCTCTATTTCCTCAACAAGACACAGCGAAAGGGAGGGGAAGAGAAATTATTTCAAACGACAGCTGACTGTTCCATGCTGTTGAAAGAAAGCACAAGAGAAAGTAAAGTACATAGCACACAAGGCAGCTGTCTAGCAATCCTTTGGAAAAGCAATTGTTCTCCCATTTTCTCCAGTAGATTAAATGTTTTTACACAAGAATTCCCATGCTTTGTAGTATTTTCCACTTCAATCAGAAGGGCCCTTGCCATGCAAACATGGTCAACTCTCCCAACACACCTTGACAAAGGTATAAGCCATGGGAAAAAGTGCAGTCTAATAGAATAAGGAATTTAGGTAGATCTTGTAGTCATTTGCCTAGATGCTACTGATTTCCCCCTATTAGTAGATTGCCTCATTTTTAAATTTAGCTCATTGTATGAGCAGGCAAAATCCAGAACCTGAGGACTTCAACATTGTTCCACAAGCACACAAGTGGGCGTAGAAAGTCACCTGCTTCCCTCAAGGTTGAGGCAATAACTTGTGCAAGGGTCCCATGCATTCCCCCAAAGTGGGTTTTCATATAGCCTCAATGGGTCACCTGTTACATCTCTCCTAAGAGTCCTAAAGCTTTTAAATGGATGCTTTTCCAGATCTATGATTTTCATTGGCCTCTTCTGGAGCTTTGTATTATTGCTTAGATCCCCTTTGAGACAGGGTGACTTGAAATGAAGATCCCCTCCAAGGGGCAGGTACACCATTGAGAAATTTTTATAATTAAGATGCACCTGTTATTCTTCATCACTTTATCATAACCCAGCATCTTGTTTTGACTGATTATAGAGGTTTTCACTTCAACAGTTGTTTAAGCATAATAGGTTCTTCTGTCTGACCAGCAGATGGGCAAGGATAAAATGTGGGTAGAATTAAAGTTTCTGTGCCAACCTCTAAAATCTTTACATTAACATTTTGCACATGAAGTGTATTCCACTCCACTAACAAGTCTGCTGAAGATTTGTCTGGGAATTAAGATTAAATTATAGTTATTGAAAAGGTATGAAATGCTGTGAAGTGAACACTGCAGTTCAAATAAAAGCAATTCAACAAACAGATGTGTTTTGAGTGAAGAACAAGTTCACCACCAGGGCAAGCAGCTAGTTTGTAAAACATTAAGCTTTGCTCTTATCACAGGAGCTGAAGGAAAGGTTCACACATGCCAGGTTCACATATCAGACCTCAGTTTTCTTGCCTCTGGATGTGCAAACATTTTGAAGGTTTGGCAATGGATCACACAGCTGACCAACCCACTCAATTTGATTAATTCTTGAGGATTTTGAGCCTTTGCAAATTTTATCAGCAGATGGATCAGATCATCTATGAAAAGACTGCTACACTAGTTCTTAATCAATGCTGTCAGACTTAAGGCAGCAGTTCCAAATACAGCCTTTGTGCTAGAAACTCCAATAAATTTAACACAATCTGATTTTCATCTTGACAGCAGTTAATAGCTATTCAAGCGAAAGCAGTACATATTTTTACTATCTTTGGATATTTTCCTAGTGCTTCATCAGTTCCTTCCATGTCACTCAAAATACAAACACACTACTAATAAATCTAGGATATATTTCCCCCCTCCCCTTTAACATGTCTGTATTAAAGGAGGAAAAGAACAAAGTTATATCAGATAATGGCACTCATTTGTCTCCACTGATTATTCATGACACTTCAATTGAGGACAAAGGATAGAACAGCCTCAGAGATGACAGGGCAAGATGGATCTTCTGAAAACTCTTTAGGTAAAGAATGCTCAGTGTTTCCTCCACTTTATATAAATTACACACCTCAAATCAGGAATAAGACTTTATTATTTTAGGGTTTCTTATGTGTCCAAACTAAGCAGTTATGTATCACAGGATATTTAACATAAAGAGGATAACACTTAACGATTTGAAACAACAACCAATCAGAAACTGGATTCAACGCAAGTTTCACTGGAATGAGTCCAGACACCCATATGCTTGGGGTAGGAAAAGGTGAACAAACACAAAGTCTCGTTTGCATTCAAAACAGTAAAATAATTATCAAATTGATTTAATGTAAAATCTGAAAAAGGGGGAGACAGAAGCTCAGACCAAAGTACAGTCAAAGAAAACACCATAAGGAAAGTAGCCAGAAATGAGCTGGGTCAGTATATCACATGACAAGGTCTCATTTTAAATTAGACAGGCTTGATGGAGAACTGACAAATCAGCATGTTCCAGGATCACAACTGTTTGAAATTCATCATTTGATAAATTAAAAAATATTCTTTAACATCAAGCTTTTCTTCTTCATCTTAAGATTATTTTCTTGTATAAAATCCCCCTTCCAAGAAGAGACTAAAGAAAATTCAGAATATCAGGAAACTCACTTGATTTAAATGTTGTAAAATATACAGAGAAATACGTTTCTTTATCCCTCCCTCTCCCACCCCGTTTGACCTTTATGTATAGGAGTCGTGCTGAAAGAAGTTATCATACTTCAAGAATCAATGAATCAGATCAACTTGAGATCCCAAATATACATTATGTTTAAAAAAAAGACTGGAAAACCTGATATTAATTCCATATTGCTCTCCAATTTCACAAATACAAACATCTTTTATGGAATATTTCCAACACTGCACAATCCACATCTGCAGAAGCTGGTTTTTCCTTCTGTTTCCAGCCTGTGGACTATCAAGCCCTCATTGCAGCAGTGAGAGGCAGTATGAAAGCCAAAACAGCCTGTAAGCTATCAAAGTGCTACACCTCAGCAGCCGACTACAGTACACCCCAGGAAAGACCCCGCCCCACACATCTCATGGAAAGCTTCTAAATTTTATTTAGGAACAATTGCCTTTTTTTTTTTTTTGCAGTGATATGAAATTACCTGCATTTCAAAACAGTCCATCACCATGGGCACTCTTACAAAAAAGCAATCTAGGATCAGATCTTATTACTTAAGAATCCACCAGGCTCCTGTTACTTATTCCTCATCTTAAATTATTTCCTTAGCAATCAGATGCAGTAGCAAAGTCAGAAGACTGAAGGTGAGAAATAAGCAAGAGAAGATGAACTCCAGACAAGGATCACTTCTTAATCAGGCTTGCCTGAAAACAAAGGAAAAGAGCATGTAGGATAAACTGACTTTCAGTTTATGAACTCCTTTTAAAATCACCCATGAGCAGGTAGGTTACCATGAGCAGCCTTTTCTGAATGGGTCTATGTTGTAGTTAGGCATTTAATAGAGTGTCTTAAGTGAGAAAGGAGTCACAGATGCTGCAACATGTAAATTCACCACAGAATGGGTAACCATTAAAATCTGTTAAAGTATTTACCACTTCTGCTCTTAGCACAAGAGTATTAGCTCTCATTTCTCAATGCAAATTTGTAAAAAATAAAGACAGATTTCTCTTTACATAACTATATATATTTTCAAGTCAGGGAGTGGAAAGCAATACATCGCAGCTGGAATCCAGTCCTCCTAGATAGTGTTTCACTCCCTTTGCTTAGGCAGCCCCTTTTGTGAATTCTGGTTCCTCAACTCCTGCCTGCTTTCTCCCACCCCTAACAAATGATCTGATTAGGTCATCAAATTATAATTCAATCATGGATGAACATCAAGTTGTCTAAGCCTGGTCCGCTGTGTGTTGACTCTGAATGGGGTACTGGTCAAAAAGCAAACTCCAGCTTTTCAGAGGACAATGGAATTTCTCTGCTCCAGGTGTTAACACAGTTACATAGTACATGTGTGGAATTCTGTTTCCCTCTAATACATTGAGAAAGAACTCAAGTGCACAGGCACATACACAATACAGGGAAGAAGATGGTAAGTCTCCCCTTATCAGGTTTCAGATGCAGATATTTGTGTTCTGGACCCTGTTGGAGCTCTTCCACCATCAAAATAAAACCTCCCTTTCTTTGAAGGCCACTGGTTAACTTCTGAATCCAAAGATGCCCTTGATATATCCTGTAAGGCCACTCTTCGCTTTTTGCTCCACCTTGTCCTCCAGAGGTGGGAAAGCAACATGATTGAGGGCCAGGTCGAAGAACAAGGGTTTGCATGGGATTGGCTGGAACCCAGGAGGGAAATACACCAGGCTGGCTTGCTTGCCGACAAGAGAGGGATCCAGGCAGAATGTCTCAAACCGTTCAGAGAGTGGCTGAAAAGAGAGCCAGACACCAATATTAAACAAGCTGATGACATATTATGGCTGGCTCGATGGTCATCTAGACACTCAGGGTGAGCAGTAACCTTGAGCCAACTGGAGTTGAAATTGACAAATACTGTGTCTTGACTCCTTGGAAAGGGTTCAGCACTGGTGACATTCTGATACTCATTCATCACTACCACAGCTAATTGAGAAAAAGCACTGCAGACTAGAGGCAACATTCCCATGGACCAGGCACTGCAGTTTAAACCCAAAAATGTAGACCCCAGATAAGATGCTGCAGTGGCAGTCAATATCCCTACCCAAGCCAGCTGCAGTCCTGCAGCTGCTACTTTGAGGGGACAAAGAACCCTTTTCCATCCCCACCTCAATTACTGTGGGAAAGACAATCAGCCTAGGGCATTCTGTACCTAAAACAGACCATATTGCACAACTCATTCTGAGCATACTAATCTTACCGAAGTGTACATACCTTAGGTGAGTTACCATTTAAACGAGACATTGTCAAACAGACATGTCGATTACTGAGGTTAAAGTTAAGCTTTGCTCTTCCCATTTACTAGAAAATTAGTCTCTTGTAGAAAACTCTCTAAGGCTGATGAAATCTCCTTTTCACCCTAGTGTGCAAAGCAGTGACTTACCTTGCCATCCTTAACCTGGGATGGAGACTCAGCCTCGTATGTGTCATTTGTATCTGAAAGAGACACAGAAGTGCCATATGAATATACAGACAGAAGACAGATTAGTAGTGTCAAAACTCATAAAAGGTCTTCAGAAGTCACCCAGGGTCTCATGCTTTTCTACATATGGAAGACTGAGTACTCTAACAGACAATTTGCCTAGCTTGCAAAACAAGAGAGGGTATTTATTTTCCTATTTTTGAAGGGGCACAGAAACTATCCCCCAGTCTCAGCACCGGCACAGTACTGTATGGAAAGTTATAACTATATGGAGAGTGGGTGGGGGCAAAAAACCCAAAGGTATGTAGCAAGTCCACAATGTTAGGACAAGGAAAAAAAAAAAAAAAAAAAAAAAAAAACCTTTCACCCATACTTCCTTGGTTCTTCTATCAGCAATTTTTGTATGCCAAAGAGGAAGAGAACCTGGTATAGACCACAAATTCTCCAATTCAACTGTCACTGAATGATGACTCAGTACAACTGTGTCAAAATAAAATTAGAATTTTCCTCTTCCAATGAACCATCCCTAATGTCAATTGGTTAAGCCAGATCCAGTAAGAACGGAGAATCACAACTTACAATGCATTCCCTACTCTGATACAAGGTGCCGTACACTATGCTGTTTATCTTTGGTGACAGGTGAGAAGTGCTATTAAAAGCATTCTTTGCAAGATGGCAAAGGGTAAGAGTCCTTCAGCAGATCTCTCAAATCTGATTACATAATAAGCTGGGAAGGCTCTGTCTGCTAGTGGCAGCCCTAACGGTACAAGCAGAGGTCATAGAAGAGGCTGGAATTAGAAAGGAACAGCTTTTCAAACACACTATACATCAAAAACATGTGGTAAGCAACTTTAGTAATGAAGCTTTTACAGATGAAAAAGCCCAAGTGACTGGAGTAATAAATATGTAAGTGATTGAATTTGAGGGAAGCCAGTTCTCCTGCAGGATTGCATAACTCACCTAATATAGCAGCTGCCTGCAGGGAGTATTTCTCTGCATTCACCTGAGTGATCAGTTCCTGGACATCAGGCAACTCCTAGATTTAAGAATATCTTTGAGACTTAAACAATTGCATCAAACCAAAATTTTAACAATAAATGGGACAAAATGTTTAAAATCAGGACTAACTCTGACAAACTAGGAATTTTAGAGCTAAAGCCATCAATGCCAAACACTTCTCAGAGGAAAGATGAACATTTATAATGGGCTTTATGGTACCACATAACTCTTATCACAAGTAAAACCCAGACACATGATGGACATGAAAATATCTAAAAATCTGTTATAAAACTATAAAGGTAGGCACCTTGTTATTCTGGTGAGGAGCTGTATAAGCAGCAGCTGATTCCTATCTTTACATATCAATAAATGTTAATGACCATTAGGATACCTTTGCTGCAGAAATATAGGTCCCCCTGCTTCACCCCCAATCATATAGGGCAGAACGGAGAGAGCCATTCTCTCACTAACCCATTTCATCATGAAGCCTGTAGCAAGCAAGAGTGTTACAAGAGCTCAAGGCAATATTCTTCCCACCATTTAAAGATCATATTTGAAATACAGTGCCCTATTGTTTAGTTAACTGAACTCAAGTGTGGAAGGGTTTGGCTCATACCTTCAAGCTGTTCTTATAAGCACCTGCCTGGGCCTGAACTTCACTGGCATATTTCAAAACTCTGTCATATAAAACAAGGGCTTCACTCCACTTTTTCACCAGGACATAGGACTGGGCAATGAAGAAACACCTGGCAGGACGAGGAGCAAAGTTAACACTCACAATGATTAACTGCTTTGCCTTGAACATATTTCTTGCACATTCTTGTATGTAGTTTTAAACAGGTTGCCCCAATACTGAGCTATACACCTGGATCGGGCTGAAGTTCTTCAGCTTGCGCTTGGCAGGCCCACTCATGTCATGAGCGAGTACTCCTTTCCCCCATCCAGTCTTGCACAGTGCACTGGAATATTATGTGTTTTCCCAAAGTTCATCCCTGGTTAGCCCTAGAGAATTCTGTTGCTTATTACCAGCTACAGAAAACAGCCTTGGTACCTATAAGCTTTGTACACCAGTGTCTTCAGTCCTATCTCCTTCTGGAAGTTCTTGTCCTCTTCTAGACCAGGAAGTTGTGGCAGTTCCACCAGATTCTGTAAAAAATATAGAAGACCTGGAATGTGTCAAACCCAAACAAATACTTTCTCCTGGTGTCTGAATGAAGACAGCTACCCTTTTATAGTGAGTCAGAGCAATGAGTAGATTTACCCTTCGGGCAGAATATAAGACTTCCTGACAAAAAATGCACTAGGACAGCACCCTCTCAAACTTTCATAGTAAGAGCCACATTAGTAGTTTCTTTCATGTAATATCTCCCTTTCCATTAAACTAGCCAGACCAATCGATCATCCATATGGTAACTACAGTAATTGCTTCCAAGTAGTAACATTAGGGAAATTTTTAATGTTACTTTTAGTTGTCAATTTAATCTAGCAGTTGGAAGTGCACCAGAATCATGGTGACACATGGAAGTTTGAGAACATTTGCATGAAATTCAAAAAGCTTCTTGTCAAATCAGCATTTTCAGATTGTTTAATCCACTTTTTAAAATTTCTTAAGTGCTTACCGGATACCACAGAAAGTTTAGTAAATCATATTAACCCTGACTGTAGCTTCCCCTTTCTGGTTTGTTTGATTCTTTTGGCACACTGCACTTTTTCTGCCCTGGCATTACCTGCAAAATGATGTCATACAAGCGAATGAGGTCCTGAGGTCGTGCTGTACGCTTGCCATCATCCTCTGACTGATGCTCCTGCAGCAATGCCTTCTGCAAAGCTTTTGCCATGCTCTCATTGCGTTTGATGGCTGTTGATAGCTTGATGTAGGTCAGGTAACTAGAAAGTACCATTTACAAGCTTTGAAATTGTTGGAAATCATTCACAGCAATTCTTGGACAGAGGTTCTATTACTAGCTAGCTACAAACTTCCAGGTAGAGCAAGTTCTCAGGGGAAGGGGAAGATGTGAAGATGGGACATTGGGTCCAATGTTCCCAAGAATGAATGTGGGGAAAAAACAGATTCTATCTGATCCACTAGGTCTGAAATGATTTAAGATTGAGGTGGCTCAATACAAAAGAGGATTAAGATGAGATTTTTGTAATTCACACGGGAATACAACACTGTCCTAAGAATGCAGACTCTCTTACCTGTGAAGATATTGGATATTGGATACCTTCCCAGAATCTATTTCCAGAGAATGATCCCGCTGCTTCTGCAGAAATTGGAACAAAGTTCTGTGTGATTTACTTAAACTGGTAAATGGAGAAAAAAACCCAACAGTCCAAATTTTGACAGACATCTGGCAACAATCTTCTAATGAAAAAAAAAAAAAGCAATGGATGAATGGCAAAGAAAATGATCATGTAGAGTTCAATTATGAAGAGAAACTGTGGCCACTCAGCAGCACACCTTGTTATTGATGGATCCAAGAGTAACTATGGCTACAATAGCTGTGGGTTTAACTTTACAAGAGACCCTACAAGGTTAAATGCTATCCCTCTAATTTTGGAAGCGCTCAGATGTTTGGTGTTTACCTGGTCTGGTTTTAGCTCTTCCCGAACAGCCTGAATGGCATCTCGACATTCACTGAGTAAAGACTCAAACAGACGTTCCTTTGTTTCCTCTCCTTCTGCCTAAATACAACATAGAAGAGGCATAAAAATAAATACCTCAAAGACACACTTTCCTATTACTGGGGCTGGTGCTATGGAAGAGTTGGTTAATCCTTCCTTAACTAAGTCTTTTCAAACTTCTCCCCAAGTTACTGCTATTAAAATGTTTTGACCACAATCACCTAACTGTATGTATGTGCTCCAACTGTTTCTAAACAGCAAAACTATACTATAGAACAACCACTCATGTTTGCATGTCTGACATACTTAAGGGGCTGTTTCCCCAATGCTGGCATACACAGATTCCAGGAAAAGGAGAGATGTATTTAAACTAGGGCTGTCAAGCGATTAAAAGAATTTAATTGCAATTAATTGCGTGCACTGCCCCATTGAAACTCTATGGTGGCATTTCAAAGAGACAGCGCTGTGGGAGCCCGGGATCAGCTGGTGTCCTCAGCTGACCCCGGGCTTAGTGTAGCCCCTTTCAAATGCTGCCCTGCCGGCTCTTAAATACATTTAAAAGGCAGAGCCATAGTGGGTTAGCTCCCAGGGCCGGCAGCTAATCCCACTGCAGCTCCCCCATTTATCGACTAATCGATGGAAATTCCATTCCCCACTGATCGACTAATCGATGGAAATTCCATTGACTAGTCGATTAGCTGATTAAACTAAATTTAACATCCCTAATTTAAATGGCAATGAAGGGTTTTGAAAAGGGGCAAAAAAATAGCATTATCCCAATATAGCTTGTTACATTTTCTTGCTCTGGAACAGCAGTCCTGTCAGACATGCTCAGTAAATACAAAAACTGCTTTTCAGATTGTTTAACCTTTGCACAAAGACTGTCCAGGTTATTAGGTTTAACAAACGCATTCAACAATACAGCAGAACCTCAGTTATGAACACCTCAGGAATCGAGGTTGTTTGTAACTCAGAACAAAACATTGTTCTTTCAAAAGAAAAGCTGAACAATGACTAACACAGCTTTGAAGCTTTACTAATGAAGAAAAATGCTGCTTTTAATAACTGTCTTAATTTAAATGAAAAGTACAGAAACAGTTTCTTTATCGGGTCAATTTTAACTGTAATTTATTAGTAGTTTAATAGTACTGTACCAGATTTGCTTTTTTAGGTCTTTGCTGCTAACTGATTGAATATTTCCAGTTCCAAATGCGGTGTGTGGTTGACTCTAACTGAGGTTCTACTCTACAAACAGGACAACTGACTAATCTCAGACAGTGGCCCCTATTAGCAGAATCAAAATATTAGAACTTTGAAAGTCTGGAGACCATTCCTCTCTGTATTTATAACAGCTAGGATCATGGCCGACTTATCCATTAGGCACAGTAGGCACAGTGCCTAGGGCCCCACAATACTTTTAGGGGCCCATGAAAATGTTTTAATTTTTTTTTAAATCAGAAGAAGCTTAGTGACTGTAAACTGTACGGCCAATATGGCCTCGGCCATAGGCGCCAACTGAATGATGGCAGATAGGAGGCCCACTTAGCCTCAGCGCAGTTTACTTCTCGCAATAAGCAAGATACATACTTCAACTGCGTTGGTATAACGACAAATATAATCCAGCCTGGATTATAATCGTCTTTATACCAATGCAGTCATAAAATATAATTTTTAAAAACATAATCCACCCTGGATTATAGTCGTCTTTATACCAATGTAGTTATTAAATATAATTTTTAATATTTTTTTTTTTATGGAGGAAGGGGCCCATGAAGGCAAAAGTGCCTAGGGCCCACGAAAGTCACAATGCGGCCCTGGCTAGGATCATTGTCTTCCAGAAACCCATTATAAATTGTCAATAACTATTTGAAGAAGAAGATTAAATGAAATTCAGCATTCCAGTCTGCCACTCTTGTAAGAGGAAGCTATCCAAAGAATCAAGTAGCTAGCCAAACGACTCCCTAACAACCAAAAGGAAAGTGGTAGAAAGTTGAACATAAAACTAACCTGCACCACCACCTACTGGTCATACAACTATATTGCTTGAAGGGAGTTTTCCTCTTTTTCGTGAGATGATCAATTTAATCCACAACTTGAATTTAAGCATTACTCAGGGCCAACCCTACTGTTGCCGGTGCCCTATGAAGCCCAACACTGGTACCACCCTATTCCGCGCTGGGCATCCCCTCAGTCATCCAGCTTGGGAGGGACACTTGCCTCTGCCTGATGAGTGGGAGCTGGGTGCTGAGCCCTGGGAGGACAGCCAGAGCCCATATGCAGCACGAGACTGTATAGGGCACCATGAAATTTGGGGCAATTTGGTGCCCTACGTGGTTGCGTGTTTTGTTTATCAATAGGGAAGGCCCTGGCATGGTCAGTAGATGAAGGCAGACCTGGGGGAGGCAAGCCTGCAGCCTTGCCCCTTCTGTCCCAGACCCTGTCACCTAAATGAAGCCAAGCCCCTTCACCCGGAGCACCAAAGGCAGGGTGGGTCCCCGAGCACAGGGAGGGTGGGCAGTGCATGGCCCCCGCCCCCATCCCAGCGCCAGAGAGTGGGCACTAAGGGCAACACTACACCCCCAGTGTACCTACAGTAGCATTCTGGAGGTGGAGTATGGATGGGACCAGGCTGGCAGTTTGGGAAGGCACTGTCTTCCCCCACCTAATATCTGCCACTCCTGGGACCTGGCATTACTTATTTAGAAATAAATGACTGCATAAAAATAAAAAAGTTTCAGATGAGATCAATACAAATAAACTTCTATAGGCTTCACAACAAAACTCCATTTGACTTATGTTTCCTTTCAAGCACACCTATCATTCTCTACCTCCACCCATTTGACTCCATTCTGTAAGAAATAAAGTTGGAGAGAATTAAACCAGATCTGTGCTTTTTTAAAATTGTATGCTAAATTTGAGCTGTATGCCTACTCTATTAAAAATACCTTGCAGTGAGAATAATTGAGCTTGGTTGTGCACAAAGGCAAGTATTTTCTACTCAAGATTCAAACAGCAGCAGCTCACGATTTTCAGCCAATGGAAGTGAGGAGCATTTTCAGCACCCTTCAATCGGGGAAAAATACCTTGCAGTGAGAATAATTGAGCTTGGTTGTGCACAAAGGCAAGTATTTTCTAATATCTGGGCAGTTGTAAAACTTTTGGGGCTAAATGCAACCCTGATATAACTCCAGGGATGAGTTTGGCCCCAGATGTTTATCGTGAATCTTCTCCATTTCTTGAGAGATTGTCTGCGGCAATGGTCCCCAACCTATAGAGGCTCCCGGGCACCTGGGGGCGGGGCCACTCACGCACCGGGCGCCTGGGAGGTGGGGCCGCGCATCCTGGGGCACGCCAGGGGCGGGGATGCCCTTGCACCCGGCGCCGGCATGTGCGCCGGGACCGGGGCCGGCACAAGTTGTCAGTGGGCGCACACAAATGCCCCGGCGGGGGCC